CCTACTCATCGATCACCAGACGCTAACGCACGCGAGTGAACGCTTTTGCGATTTGAAAACGGAATTCCGAGGACATGCAGGGCTCGCATGACTTGCTACCGAAAGAAGGGGAGGAGGAGAAGGTGGCTCCTGCATCAGCCTAAACAAATCCAAGGCCGTCGCCCACTCGCCACCCCGCGTAAGCGCCTGCAGCGGGCGGGGGGAAGCACGGGCAGCGAGCGAACGAGTTGCAGCAGACGCAAGGGAATCAGGGACAAGATGCTGAGGGGCCGAATAAACTGTTCGATGATCGTCAAGACGTGTGTTAGCACCAACGCGTGCTTCTCCGCCAACGCCATCCGAGACGACGCAGGTGGTGCAATTGATGAGGGCCAGCCCAGGCTGCGTGCTATCAGTGGAACTGAGCGGGGCAACACAAACACATAACACAGGGCTGGACCTAAGCGTTGTTGTTCGTTTTGTTGTCGCTTTGCTTTTCGGTTTGCTCTACCTGCTTTACTGCACCTCCCTCCCAAAACGAATAACAAAACACATCTGAAGTCAAGCAAACCGGCGTTTAGGTCCAGCCATGGCATATAACACGTCCTGGTAATGATAATGTTTTCTCTGCGGCGAGCTGGATCCAACAAAATCGGTCGGGCTACTTAGCGGCTGGACAAAAACACGAAAAGGGATGGAGTGAAGGGGGGAGGAGGAAGAGTACAAAAGCGGGAATGCAGAGGAAAAGGAAGAGGGAGAGGGAGAGGTAGAGGGTGAGGCGAGTGAACAGGACGATGGGTGACGAGAGAAGTTGGAAAGATCGAGGAGGGTATGATGAAGACGAAGGGGAAATATCAGAGATGAGAGAAGAAGCTGTGAGGAAAGAGGAGGGAGGAACAGCGGAAGACCCGAGACAGAGAAGAACGACACTTCAGGGGAGTCTGGAGCACGCACGAGCGGGGCAGGAAGGGATGGAGCAGGAGCTGGATGCTAGAAGAAGAACAATCAATAAACGTAAACCTTTGAGGCTCTGCGCGGAGTTCTTGGATCCGCGGAGGACCCCCGCGGAGCACGCCGGGGGCGGCGCCAGAGGCGCCGCCGGGGGGGCGCGGCGCGGTTGCAAGAAACCCGCTCGGAGCGCCACAAGGTTATGTTTACATGAGTGTTGTTTTTCCTCCTTCGAGAGGCGGCAACACCCCCTTAAGGGCAAGAGCGCCCACGCTGCCGAGACGGCGCCCGCGCGCACCAGCTACCGGCGGGCTCCCCGCGCGCGCGCCGCACCGGCGCGGGACGCGCGATGCCCGCCACCGCGAGATCGAGCGGCCGGCACCGAGGCCCGCAGCGACCGGGGCCCCCCCGTGGCCGCTCGCTCGGGGCCGGCGGCGCGCAGAGTGTGGGCAGGGGGGAGGGGGGGAAGCTTCTGTGGGGCGAGGGCAGGGCTGGGTTCAGTGGGACCTTCGGGGAGCTTCTAACCCGGGTCAATCCAGACCCGGGTCAGCAGGAAACCAAAAACTCAAATGCAGGAAACCAAGAAAAAAACTGCAACGCAGGCCTTCGCAAACCCGTCTCTTGAGCCCCGAGACCTGGTTTAGTGATCTGTACCAGGGACCCCCCCCCCCGTCCCATGCCACTCACCGGAATCGCCGTCGCCCGAAAAGCACCAACTATACGGCAGACCTGGTGAAAGATTCCGATCCATGTTTGGGGCTTCGGGGCCCAATCACTCACCGGCTCGCCTTGGCCGGGGTCCTGGCTATGCCCGATTCTGAAGAGGAGAAGCTGCTTCTCAAAGGCGCCGGCCTCGCATCTGTGGGAATGGGCCCGCGTCATCTGCAGAAGAACAACAACGGCTCGAAAATAAACGTTTGGCGCTCCGTGCGGATTCCTTGGATCCGCGCTGGACCCCCCTCCCTGGCGCGCCGCGCGCCGGAGGCGGCGGCGCAAGGGCCCCCTGGGGGGCCCAGGCTCGGATCCAGGAAATCCGCGCGGAGCGCCACACGTCTATGTTTCTATATGCCTTCTTGCTGTCCCTCGACCCCGAGAAGCAGGGGCGCCTCTGAGAAGCCTTCCCCCCTCCCCCTGCCCCCCCCCTTCTCTGCGCGTGGCCGACAGGGGTGGCCTCGAACACCGAGCACGAGCGCGGAGAGGCGATCCCCGGAGAGCGCCGGCGGCAAGCGGCGGGCGCGCCGCCAGCCGAGGGGCGCGGGCGGCGCCGGGGGCCCCCTCGCCGGGCGGCCCCGCGGCCTCGCCCGAGGGGAGCCGCCCGGGAGGTGCAGCGGGGCCCGGACAGCGTGGCTGCACCGATGCGCAACACGCAGCACGCAGCGTGTTGGCACGGAGCTCGAGGCGCAGACTGAAGACGTGGGTCTGCCACGGTACGTTCGCCAAGCGTGGGCCAACACGCCGAGCCAACACGCAGCGTGTTAACACAGACGCTCTGAACACGGTGCGTGCTGCGTCTCAAAGCGGGCGCATCGAGGCAGCTGAGCTGGACATAGGAGGGGGCCCAGGGGCACACAAATAGATAGACACAAATCCCAGGGTTCCCAATAGTTTCCTATATCTTTTCTGGGCTGTCGTCTTCCCCCCGCCATCCCCATATTTGCCCATGTTTTCCCGGGAATCGACGATTGATTGTTTCTGTGCGTGTGTCCCCTCTTGGAAATAAGACGATCCCTCCGCGCGGGCGGTGCAGATGCGACGACAAGGCAACTCTGATCTGCGACGGGCCACACCGTGGAACCCCCAGGCGGCGCAGGAAAGCAGGCGACGGTGGCGTTCGGCAGCGTCTCGGGATGGGACAGGTCCCGCAGGAAAGCGGAGGAGGGAGAGGAGGAGGAGGAGGAGGAGGAGGAGGAGGAGGAGGAGGAGGAGGAAGCCATACAGCCGAGGAGGGGCGGGACCGTCGCCGCCCGCCGGTCGCCACGTCGGTCGTGGCTCGCGCGCGGGACCTCAAAGACCAAAGAGAACAAGAAGGCCGCCGCAGCGGCCAGGACTCGAAAGACGCCCAGGGTGCGGGAGGAGTCCTGGCATCGACGTGTGCGAGCCCTGCGTGGACAAGATCGTCTTCTGATACGGGTTGTTGCAGCTGCCAGCCGCCTCAGCAGCACCACAGCGCCCAGCAGCCGCAGCGCTAGCAGCAGCAGCCCTTGAGTGAGGACTACGACATGTCGCACGCAGCTGCCAACGCTGGCCAGGGGAAGAGGTCATCGGGCCCCGCAGTCGGCGAGAGCCCATGGCCATGGCGTGCGCAGCGGGAGCACAACACCCAGCGCAACCAGCAGCACGAGACCAGCGCAGAGTGGACCTAGAAGAAGTGGCAGGGTTCGGTCTGGTCCCAGGGCCATTGGCAGCAGAACAAGTGGCAGGACGACGCGCCTACCACCAGACGCAAACGCAGTCGCCGCCCTACAGGCGCCGCAGCCCCAGCAGCAGGACGGCAGGCACCACAGCCGCAGCAGCAGAGCAGCTTCACTGAGAAGCAGCGCGCCGTGCTCGACATGGTGTTGCCAGTGTCCTACGAGGAGGCGCAGGGTCACCAGTCGTGGAATCCGCCGCCGTCCGACCCAGAAATGCTCGAGGTCTGGCGGAGGACTCGTAGCCAGCGCCTCGCAATATTGGCAGACAACATCGCAGGGGCCCGATCCGCATGTGTGGCTGCCACCAACCTGGAGTATGAAGCAGCGGTCACGGCGGCGAGCATCACATTCGTTGTCCCGCCATAGGAGAGGCTCCGCCAGCTGCGCACCACCCTGGGGCGGGCCGAGCTCACCAGCCTCCAAGCCAGGATTGCAGCGCAGCTCGACGAGGAGGCGAAGGCCACGAGGGTCGCGCGGATATGCACGGTGCTGATCCGCGAGACCAGGGACATGATGGCGAGGACCGCAGCCAGTGGCCCGCACTCGGAGCCGGAAGCCGACACAGATGCGGAGCAGGCTGGACGGAGCAGAAGCGGAGGAAGAGGGCGTGCTCACGCACCGCATCCAGCGCCAGCCAGGGCCCCCCACGGCGGCGCAGCTGCAGGGCCCAGAGTCCCCGCCGAAGGCAGTGGCCCGCACTAGGCCACCGGCGGCGGCTCAGCCTGCGGGCCATCCAGGGGAGACTGCACAGCTTGAGGCCCAGCTGAGGGCGACGGAGCAGAGTCGTGTGGCCAGGCTGCGCAACAGCGAGCGGGCCATGGCTCAGAAGACCTTGCACGCAGTCTCCGAGCAGCTGGAGCGCCAACAAGGAGCCCACCAACGCAGAACGGACGACATCAGGAGTGCCGCCCACCGCGAACTCGAGCACGAGCAGGCCGCATACCGCAAGCGGCAGAGCGGGAACCAGCAGCGCCAGCAGGACGAGGCCGGCGCAGCACTGCGGCAGATGCAGCGCCGCCTCGTCATGCAGGCCCAGGAGGCGCTCCAGGAGCAGAACTGGAGCTCCGACCAGGAGATGCGAGCGCTGGCCGAGGCCGCGAACAGGGCTAGGCGAGGCGAGGAGGAGCGCCTGCAGATGGTGCGCCGAGAGGGAGGCAGAGAGAGAGAGAGAGGGAGCACTGCCACCAGACCCAAGCTGAGCCGGAGGGTGAAGCGCTGGCCCTCGCCCGGCAGGCACGAGCTTCGGAGGCGGAGCACGCAGCGGAGCTGGGCCAACAGGAGGCCCAGGTGGGGGGTTGCTAAAGGTGCCCCTGGCACAAGGTGCCCCCAGCTTTTCGCTCAATCTTGGAGCCCCTGGGGCCGTCTGGGAGTCGTGAGGGGTGCCCTGAAGGCCGTGGGGCCTCCTTAGAAATCCTGGGGGCACCTTGGGCCAGGGGCACTTCTAGCAACATCCGACCAGGTGGGACGACAGATGACCCTCGCACTCCAGGTCAGGCAGGTGGTAATGGAGACGCATCACGCGCAGCAGGAGAGCCGCCTCGTCGAGTGTGGCGTGGAGCAGGCCGAGGCGTACCAGCAAGGCCAGCGGCGCATCGGGGAGGGGGCCTGGCGAGCGAGTGAAGACCACCGCCAGTACATGGCTGCCGTCAGCCAGGCAGAGCTGGAGGAGCACCGCGCCAGCCACGGCCACCTCGAGCAGCAGGCAGAGCACGCGCAACGCGACGCCTGCCAGCACCTGCAGTGGGCCCAGCACGACAGCGCGAGGGAGCAGCGGGAGATGCAAAGCCCGCCACGAGCAGGAGTCGGCGGAGCTCAACAGCGCCCGCAGGCGCGCTCTCGTGTCGAGCATGCCGGAGCGCGAGACGCTGGAGCTGGATGTCCTGGACGAAGTGGCGGCTGAGCTGGCGGACGAGGACGCAGCCATGGATCGCGACCAGGCGCTGGCAGCTCAGGAGGGGGACCACCGACGCGAGGGGTTCGAGCGCAACTTGATGACCATCCCCCCTGGGGCGGAGTTCGAGCGCCCGCGCCAGGACGCAGCGGTATACGCGTATGAGCTTGCGTACGCGTATGAGCTTGCTGCGGTATACGCGTATAGCGCACCTCGTCGAGGCCTTCGGCTACGCCCGACAGCGACTTCAGCCTGCAGAACATCGGAGTCGCACCGACAGAGAGCAACACAGCCCCACTGTCAAGGGAGGCGCCGCCGCCACCGTCATTCACAACTCCACCGCCACCATAGGGACCCATTCTCATAGAGGACTCCCAGATGGTCCCAGTCGGCGACACCGACGACGCCGACCTTCAAGACGAGCACCCACCACCAACCACTGACCTGGCAGAAATTACTGAAACGATCGAAGTCAACACGCCCATCCCGACTGAGCAGCAGACTCCGTTCCCACCCGTGACGCAGCTCCCAACCCCACTATCCAAACCAGACTTGCAAAACGCTAGCACCCCCACCACAAGGATCCTCATCGACCTGAGCACGGAAGGGCAGGACGCACCAGCTACGCCACCAAGGATCCCCATCGCCGACATCACGCCCACCGAGCCTTTCGACCCCGAGTGCCCACCGCCCAGGTTCCACATGGGGACTCTAGAGAGGACATCCTCTGAGCCCCCGCTCAGAAGCTCGATGCGACGGGAGACAGGACGGGGAAGCGCCAAAAGTCAGCCCAGGAGGGTCAGGTTCCGCGACATGGGCGATGGCTTCGCCGACCCTGATGACAGGCACCCCAAGTTCCTCGAGGGCGGCGAGAGCGACGGATTCGATGTCGGCTGGCCTACCCCAAAAAACTGAGCACGAGAGCGCTGGCTGAGGAGCAACTGGCTCAACATGGCGCCGACTAACTGACACCAGCGGCACCGCAAGACCACGAGCCCTGCTTTTCCGACTCGTGCAGTGTTGAAGCTACGAATGCGATTTCCTGTGACCCACGGTTCCTGACTGGCCGAGAACAGTCATATGTATTCAACCGTTTCACCACCACGGGCAGAGTCGCCGACGATGTGGGGCCTTGGGGTGGCGATAAACCATACATCAGCGACAGCTCCACAAGGGAGTGTATCAGGCCCTCGCCCACCCGCCACCTTCACAGCCACGACAGTCTGCAACGGACCAGCAACCAAGACAGCAAACAAAAAAAAAGAGCACGGTTCACCAACCATGGGAACACAGGCCCAAATAGCAGCAGCGCAGACTTCACTGAGGCACCGAGGCGACCCCCTTCGGGCCTCACTGACGGCTACTGGCCACAACACCAGGAGAGCGATGCTCGCAGGCCAAAGCTTAGCCGATCGCACAGTCCAGCTGCACCAGTCGCCTCGAGTGCAAGACCTCGGCGACACAGAGAACCGACGTCTACATGATACACTCCCTCAGGATGACAGCGGCAGTTGCCCATTCAAACGAGTGACCGACAAGCCGTCTCAACACTCACCACCGGTCGCCTCGAGAGTGCAATACTTCGGCGATCCCACAGTCCGATGCCCACCTAAGCGACTCCCTCAGGACGGCACTACACCACCGCAGCCCACGCAGCACGGTGCACCAGGCCTCACTGGCCACAGCAACGAACGCCGACCTACCGCACCACGCCCACCTGAGACACTCCCTCAGGACGGCATACGACGCCTGCAGCCCGTGCGGCAGTGTGACCACGGCCTCAGCGGCCTCCTCACATACCACAACCGATCTCCCAAGGAAGAGATCGACAGTCAGCCTCCCACAGCCAGGCGGGAAACGTGGGATCATCCCACTCCCGACAAGGCCTCGCCAGGGAGTCGCAACCGACAGGCGACCAGCTATGTTAGCCCAAAGACGCCCGAGAGAGGGGGAACCGCACCCCGACCTACACAGGCTACATCAATACCAGCTCGCTCTACAATATTGGGCAGCGGTGATGGCGGCACAAGTAACTTGACCCACCGCGAAGGGACGCCCGAGATCGCAGCACCAGTCTGCATTAAGCCAAACGACGGCACCAACAATGCCCAACTAGCTCAGCTTAGCACACCCACGACCAACCACCAGAGCCTTCAGTATCACGAGCTTGACGGCATCGAGTACACCTTCCTCGACGGCAAGCAACCGACTCCCGATCACACGGCTCGTACCCAGCCTAACTACCCCCGCGACGCCCAGAACAACGCCGATTAGAGGCAGCGAATAAGCCTGCGCCACCCCACTTCAAATCAGCAAACGGTTCGCATCACTCGCTGACGATGACGACCTCACCATACGCCCTGCACAAAAGCATGACCCCCGCCAACGACAGCCACCCAACGACATCACCAAGCAACAACGAGACCCAATTGCGAATGCCCTGGAGAGGAAAGGGCCCAACTTCGAGGCGGGCTCGAAGTGCGGTGGGGCAGGACGAGGACTGCCTGCGCCCGCCAGGGAGGATGGTGAGGGGCAGGGGGGGTGGGGGGGGGGACGGCCACCACCCGCGCCCCCGCGGTCCGCCATAGCTCGCCACCCCCACCATTCCCATGGCGGAGGAGGAGCCCACCCGAACGCCGAGGAGGCGGAGCACAGAGCAGTTGCGGCCCAGCCCACCATGAGCAACATCAAGCACAAGGCCTGGGGTTCGCCCCCACCGAGGGTACCGTGACCCCTAGTCATAGCGGGACGAGGTGGGACCGCAGTGACTCCCACTTGAAATCGGTGCATGGAGGCCTACCGAGTGCTACCCCCAAACACAAACCACCAATACCTGCAGACCGCTTACACCGCGACCGACCGACCAACCGACCAACAGCAACAAGCAGCCGTACCTCCGACCAGACCACCATTGCACCACCCCCATCATGCAACCGACCAACCCAACACCAGTTTTGCAAACGACGACCAGCAATGATGCCCTTTAGACAACCAAGCTCACACCACGCTCGACGCCCCGCAGCAGGAGCGGGAATGTCAGCAAGGGTGGCGGCCCACCCTGAGACCAGCCAGGCCAGCTATGAGGCCGTTTGGCGGCGGTTCCGCGGCGGTCGGTGGCCCCCGTGGCCGAAGCCCAGTCAGACCAGTCTGAGCACTCTGCAGCGGAGCCGGAGCAGGGCAGCCGACGACGACAGCGACGGCCGCTGCCCGATCAACCGCCTGGAGATGGGGCTCAACCGCCGGCCCCCACCGACGGCAACCCGGCAGTCATGCGAGTGCTGGACCGCGCGTCGCCGATAGAGAAGCTGCGCCAGATGGCACCGCTGCAGCTGGCCACACAGCTCGATCACACGATGCTCCACAAGATGGCCCAGCTGGCCCCGAAGATGTGCCCGCAGCGGGACTGCAGCGTAAAGTGCCACCACCTGTGCACCGACGGGAGCTACGACAGCAGTCTAACAACGGCAGCTTGGGCAGTGATCGCCGTCGCCGAATATCACGACGACAGGGACGGGACGGAGGCAAGTTCGGGTGCCTCGGGCATCTCTCTGGCAAAGTGCTTGACACTACGGACCACAGGGTGGACCAAGAGAAGATCACGGCCTACACTGCAGAGATCACTGCAGGACTCTGGCCCATGCTGTGGGCAGCCTCCCTGCAGGAAGCGACCGCAGTACAATCGCGCCAGATGCCCTCAACGCGATCAAGCTCGCCAAGGCGGGGGGCGCCTGCCACGCCCACGAGAAGCTAGGCTCCACCTTCCAGGTCATGGCGGACATCGTCGGGAGGGCGCTGCCACTCACTCGCACATCGGCCACCCCTGGAACGAGCTCGCGGACGGAGTGGCCGACCAAGCAGCCAAGGGCCTCAGCATCTACTACGACAACACCGCGCTGAAGGCAGTCACCGCCAGCAAGCTGCTGCCATGGGAGTGGATGCGCAACGCTGACGTCCGGCAGGCCGCAGCCTACCCGCCCATGCTCGGCGGCCAGTTTGCGGTCCCCGCCACCCAGCCCAAGGCTGGCCCGGGGGCGGTCCAGCGGCTTCGGCGGGATGCCCAGATCAGGGCGGAAAGATTCCTGGAGCTGCGCACCTACAACTCCAGGTCGGCGCAGGCTCGGGTCGGGCGGAAGGGGGGGATAGCAAAGGGGGGGGGGGGAGAATCAGCTCACGTAGCTGATTTTCCCGGCGCCTCCCAGCGCCGGAGGCGGCTATGTATCGAGGAATGGGCCCCTCGGTGGGGCCGAAACCAGCTGCATGCAGCAAATTTCGTACCCCCCCCTTTCCCAATCCCCCCCTTTCGTCCGGCCCGACAGGCAGAAGTGGCCATGCAAGAGACCCACGGCAAGGGCAAAGGAGCCGCAGGCCGCCGGCCAGCCAACGGGCATGCCCCAGCGGCCACCAGCAACGAGAGGCTGCACCTGGCAGCCCAGTTCGCCGACGTGGGCGTCCACGGGGCTGCCCTTTTTAGGAGACCGGCCCGGACGGCGAAGTGAAACGAGTGGGCCAGTATACCTGCTATTCTGAAGGGGCCCCAGGTCAAATGCGAAGGCGGCGACGACCACCACCACGACCTGCCAGAGGAGCCCCACGGCCTATCGTTTGCCGATGACCTTACCACTCACCACGTCTTCTCCCACCACAGCCAGGCCGAGCGAGAGACCGCAGTCATCTGCGAGAGCGTCTACCTGGCCGCAGCCACCTTCGGCATGAAGCTCAATCGGCAAAGACCAAGATGCTGATCAGCTTCGGGCCTGGCCACAGGGCCCACCAGGAGGCCTTCTACCAGCAGGAGTCCAAGCACATCGAGGTTCCAGTGGCCACCAGCGTCGTGGAGATCGTGAGGCACCACCGCCTCCTCGGCACGATGGTTGCAGACGACGGCCCACCAGGGGTCGACGCCGTCCACGAGGTCACCAAGGCAGCTGCAACGACCATACCACTACGCCCCGAGGTGCACGAGCGCAAGCAGCTCACGGCCCACGACAAGGCTGCCCCCGCGGACCCCGCCATGCTCTCCAAACTGGCATACACCTCGGGCACTTGGCCGCCGCTCGGGCCCGCCGACGCCCGCAGGTTCGAGGCCCAGCACGTCGCCAACTGCGCTGCCGCCGAAGGCATAACCTGGAAGCAGCAGCGCGACGAGCTGGTGAGCAACTGCCAGATCTTGGAGGGGATCGGGCGGCCCACCAGCGAAGCCTACCCGGCCCTGGAGAGGCGCCGACGTTTCGCCAGAGCTGTTAAGCACGGGCCCATCTACCTTCGGAGGCTGCTGGCGGAGGCGCGGGGAGCTCAGGACGGCTGGGCGGAAGCAGCACGACGCGACGTCTCATGGCTCCGCGAGCACACGGACCCTGACGAACCAGCTAGCCAGTACTCCATCGACGACTGGAAGGACTGGGCCCGCACCGACCGAGCGAAGCTCGTCAACCACGTCAAGAAGATGCTACATAGAGCACGACTCGCAGCATATGACCACGACCGCCTACATCGATGGCGGAAGCGGCTTGCCGCCTGGACCCACACCCACGCCATCCCAGCATTCAACTGACAAGAGCCAGCGCACACCACGACCTACGTAGGCTACGAGCGTGGGCACACCGAACCCAACAAGCAACGACTTCGAGCACACATCACTCGGTACCATACCAATGTCAACGATCCAGCCACATGGGTACAAGGCACTCTATGCCTGGGATGCGGACGCGACTACCACACCACCAACCGCATCGATAAGCACCTCCTGAAGGTCAAGCGCTGCGCCGCCCACATGCGGAGACGGCTGCCGACGCCATTGCCAGATCAGCAGGAGATCAATCAGCAGGCGATCCGACAGCAGCAACAGCAGAACCGACAAGCGGGACGGCACAGCGACTGGGCCGAGCGACCATCCAGAGCTTGACGACGACAGAGGCCCCTCGGACGACAATGCCAGCATGGACATCCTGTGCTACAGCGATCCACCGCCACCCATCGTTCAGGTCCAACGCCCACCGCAAGTACCCACCATGTATATTCTGCACCTGTTCAGTGGGCGACGGCGGCTATCCGACATACAATATTGGTACGAACAACTACCAGTAACCAGCAGCCACGCGGCATACGCACTGTCACTGGACGTCGCCAACGACGAGATCTCCGGCGACTTAACTAGCGAGACCTCAGTGGCTAAGTGGAGGCAAATGATCAACGAAGGAGGGGTCGCGGCGGTGCTGGGAGGGCCGCCGTGCGAAACGTGGTCACATGCACGCCACCTACCACCCAATCAGTGTAGAGGCAGGCCGCCGCGGCCCCTCCGTTCGGGAACTCAACTCGGGGGCCTTCGGCATCTTCGAAGGCCAGAAGCAAAGCAAGTCAGACTGGGCAATCGACTATATCGCACACAGCTCGAGTTCCTCTACGCTTGCGCAGTGCACGACATACCTGGGCTTCTAGAGCATCCTGCCGAACCGCGAGAGCAGCACATGCCCTGCACTTGACAGCTGCCTGAGACAGCCCATTTTGCTGCTCAACCCAATGTCGGCACCAATCGCGTTCGACCAGTGCACCTGCGGAGCGCCATCTAAGAAGACCACCACTCTCTTAGCAGTGGCATTCCCCGCACTGCGCGAACGCTTCCGAAGCCTCCTGGACGCTGGAAGATGCTCTCACACCACACGCCACCACCAGGAGCTCGCAGGCGTGGACGAGCAGGGAAGCTGGAACGCAAGTGCCGCCAAGGAATAGCCGCCCATGATGTGCCAAGCGATACCACCCAAGTGGCTCAGAGAATCGCCGCGATCCCAGCTGACCGACACTGGCACATCGAGCCCGGCTGCCTCCACTTCTACCAGCCACCCGACCCATACCTGACACGCGACATTCGCAGCGACCATCACAGCACTCACCCCAGACGAACCATCAAGAACCTCGACCTACACGAGGTTCGAGAATGGGCCAAAGCCGACGCCTGGCACCCACTGCCGCCACCACAACCACAAACGACCCGACTCAACCAGCAGCCACTTCTTTCGACCCCCTCACCCCATCCCTGACCACCTTGCTACGATCTTGACGGCACGCTCCTTGCACCTATACACACGAGCCCCTGTTCAGTCAGGCCGTGAGGGCTGGAGCGGACAACCTGAACTCGCAGCAGGGTCTCTCTTCCGACGCCTCACACCACACACTAGCAACACCAACCGACTACCACCAGAACAACAACCACGCAACCGACCCACGACCGCATGCAGCCCACCTACCAACATGCACTACGTTACCGGACCAATCATCACAACAGCAACGACAGCGAATACTCCACCAACTAGCACTCGACCAAAGCAACAGCATCGCAGCTGGCAGCCAAGGTACATCAGGCAGTCCAGAGTACCTCACTGAATACCTGCTTACCTACCCTGGCATAGCATAACGACACACGCAGCACTCCAGCACGCCTTTCACTCACCACTACATGCCTTTTACTAGCTTTCCACGCCCACAGCAGCCAAGACGGACGGCCACCACGAACACAAGTTCTACACCACCAAGACATGGCTCGTACACACCGCGGCGTCAGTACGCACAGTCCTGGGGAAGCCCCGAATGCGTTGGAACACCCCAGGCAACGTCGCCACGTCTAGCTGCAGGCGTTCGGACGCAAAGGCCTGAGGAAGCCCCGAATGCGTGGGAACACCTCAGGATCCAGTCGCCACGTAAGCGCACGTTCCCCACGCAGGCCGACGCCCCACTAAAGCCCATCATTCAACCACAGCACCAGCAAACAGACCTAGTCGCGGACGCCTTGGAGAGGCGAGGATCAAACTTCGACACGGGTTAGAAGGCCTGGGGGGCAGGACGAGTACTGCCCGCGTCCGCCAGGGGGGATGGTGAGGGGCAGGTGGGGGTGGGACGGCCACCACTGGTGCCCCCGCGGTCCCCCCTAGCTCGCCACCCCCACCATCCTCATGCTGGAGGAGAGCTCACCCGAACGCCGACCGTGCGGAGCACAGGGCAGATGCGACTCAGCCCAGCACAACACAACCAAGCACAAGGCCTGGGCTCGCCCCCACCGAGGGCACTGTGACCCCCAGCCGTAGCGGGACGAGGCGGGACCGCGGCGAATCCAACTTGTCGGTGCATGGAGGCCGCAGTGTGCGACCCTCAGCCCCACGCCCAACCCAATCAAACACCGACCACGACCCACCCTGCCGACTGCCCACCCCCCATGAGCAAGACAGCAGCGAAGACCTCTGGACGGCTTCGTGCGCGAAAGGTGGTGAGGCGCCACATCCGCACGAGCAGCCTGCAGATGCGAAGGAGGCCAGACGCGAAATGTTGGTAACCACATCCGTCTGGCCTCCTCACAGAGCCCACGCAGGAGAACATGCGGGGCACAGGCCAAAGAACAAAGAGGCTCAGGCCAAAGGACGTGAAGCCTGACAAGGCGTGCGAGAAAGGTGGTGAGACGCCACACCCGCACGAGCCAACAGCCAGGCCTCAAGGAGCGGCCGAGCTCGCAGGCTGGCAGCAACAGCGTCTGGCGCCGAAGGGTTGCTGCCAGTCTCCTGCGTGACAAGCAGGACAGGACAGCGCTGCCCCCAGGCGCGCGAGAAAACTGGACAGACGCCCCATCCGCACGAGCCGCTACAGGCATCAGGAGCGGCCTAGCTCCTCACTGGCAGCAGCAGCGCGATGCGCCGAAGGGTTGCCGTCAGCAGCCTGCGTGGCAACCAGCAGCCTCACCACCAGCCAGAGGAAAGGCCCACAAGCTATAAAGGCGCCCACGGCAAAAAGACAAGGGGTGCCCAGCGGCCAGCAGCTCGGAAGCCAAGGCGACCAGCGGCCAGCTGCTGGAAAGAAGAGGTGCCCAGCGGCCAGCAGCTGGAAAGAGCGGCGGCCGTCGGCCGTCGGCCGCCGACGGCGACCGCGCTGTGCTTCGGGGCACCGACCCCCTGTGGCGCCTGAAATCGCGGGAAATAGCGGGAGGAGGAGGAGGAGGAGGAGGAGGAGGAAGAGGAGGGAGGAGGAGGAGGGGGGAGGAGGAGGAGGAGGAGGAGGAGGAGGAGGAGGAGGAGGAGGAGGAGGAGGAGGAGGAGGAGGAGGAGGGGGAGGAGGAGGAGGAGGAGGAGGAGGAGTGGTGGACGTCCGGCAGGACCCAGCCTTAGGGGGGCGCAGCAACGTGACCACAGCTGCACGCACCGCAACACCACTGGAAACGCCTGGCCCCGCACTCCGCTGGAGCCTCCAAAGGGCACACAACAACCAGGGTGAACCGCACGCTGCGCAGCACTCGGGGGGGGGGGAGCGCAAGGTCCCCATGCATCTGCGCGTCGCGGCACTCCTCTGGCCCAGCGGGGGGGCGCAAGAGCGTGGCGACTGTTGCGCGCGCGGGGAGGGGCGGGAGACGAGTGGCGGAGAGGAGGGGGCAAGGTCGGAGACCGCGGAGGACGGACCATCGGAGGCGGGTGAGCGGAGGCAGGCGAGGAGGAGAGGAGCACCACGACCAACGGGAGCAGCCGTTTCCAGAAGAGCCCTCACGCTTCCAGCCGCACTCATTGGGGAGTGATCAGCTGTCCGTCGCCACACACACACACACACACACACACCGACACGCACTTTGGACTCTCCTGCCTCCCAGCTCGACAGCGGACGCATGCCTGGGGACATCGACGCTTCCCCGACCTTCCTGGCATCCACTGGAACAGGCGCACCACTCACCGTGTTGATTGGCAGCCGCGCTGCTGGCAAAGCGCAGCGACGGGGCCCGGCCCCTTGGAGGGCCCACCCGGGAGGAAGAGCACCGATGCTCGGGCGAGTAGCTCTGCTCCCCTGGCTCTTTTCGGGGGCGCGCAGACATGGATTAGCGATCCATGGATTTGGCGCGCGGTCGCCAAGTCCATGGATCGGGATAGGCGCCCTCCCCAAAACTGCGGCCGGTGCCGCCTCGTGCGGCGGCGGGAGCCAGAACTTCCCCACAGGAGCGGGACCCGCCGCTCCTCCGCGCCCCCTCGATCCACGCTCGCGGGCGCCGACCTCCTCGCGGGGCAGAGGGGAGGAGGAGGAGGAGGAGGAGGAGGAGGAGCGAGGAGGAGGAGGAGGAGGAGGAGGAGGAGGAGGAGCCGGCGCCGGCGGCCTTGATGATGGTGCTGAAGGTCACCACGGTCGGCCGCAGGCGCTCGCCCCGCAGCTGCCGGAGCAGCGTCAGGGCCCTGGCGGGGCGCGCGCGCGCCTGCCTTTCGGCGCCGGAGCGTCGGGCTCTGGACCTGCACTCTTCCTCCTCCTCCTCCTCCTCCTCCTCCTCCTCCTCCTCCTCCTCCTCCTCCTCCTCCTCCTCCTCTCTCCTCCCTCTCCCTCCTCCTCCTCCTCCTCCTCCTCCTCCTCCTCCTCCTCCTCCTCCTCCTCCTCTCCTCCTCCTCCTCCTCCTCCTCCTCCTCCTCCTCCTCCTCCTCTGGAGGCAGGATTCGGGGCCCCTGTGCGTCGAAGCGTAAACACGTGGCCAGCGAAGGAGTCGACTGGTGATGAGCCGCGGGGGGCCAGGATGCAAGACATCCTTGGGCAGAACACCTCGTCCTGATTTGGCGGGGGGGGGCGCCGTGTCCCAGGAAGGGCACTGCAGCCCCCAGGACGAGCGTATCTCATGCATCCGTCTCTTTGGGGGCGGTATGAGAGAAGGCTGCTCATACCGCCCTGGCGAGACGGTGGGATCCAATCGAGCGGTGCAGATATCCAGCTGTCCGCAAATGACAGTTATTACTAAACAACTGCGACTCACCATGCAGCGCTGGCCGTAAAAGAGGCACGAGCCAAACCCCGCAGCCCCTCCTCAACACACATGTCATGTTGCTTCCCGGCCGGTTGATCCAATCCAGCGAAAGATTAGCGAGCTCGCGAATGAGAACTGCCATCGAACGTTGTTGATGAGGCAACACCGAAACGCTGCGGCGCCCTTCTAAACACACGGTGCCCCGAAGACAGTGTCACCCACATCGCCCATCGCCCCCTACTGGGCTCACCCCTTGACTGCCAACCTTGAGAACAAGTATAGAATAATTCACACCTCAGACGTCCATGCTGACGTTCGGCGTCGCTGTGCGATCGAAGGGCAAATTATGCCAACCCTCGCTCTCCATCATACATTTTAATGACAAAGAACTGGGGGCCTTCATTTGGGCGGCGCGCTCGAAGCAAGGGTAGGCTGTGACAGAAATAGACCGAAGAGAGGCGGGTGCCGGGTGTGTGAACGCACCGCTGCTGAGAGAAACGAGGGCACAATACCACAGCAAAGTTGGGTTGCACTAAACAAGCACCGATCGTGCATTCCATTCGAAATCTGGATCTCCCTCCCGACCCTTCCCGTGACTTCCCCTCCCGTGCTGAACTGCAGCTTCCCTCTTTCTGTCCCTTTCTCTACCCCTGGCTGCTCTGCTCCACTCAGCCCGCGTACTACAAACGCGTTCCCACCTTACTCTTGAAACTATGGGCCGCGGAATTTCCTTGCCTGTCGCTCACGCGCGAAGGGCCCGAGAATGGCACAAGCGCGATCTCGGGAGGGATGCGCCGCTCCCTTTGGAACGACGTCATGCAGATCATGCCGAATACGTTCTCAGAGCTTCGTAACCCAACCAATAACCGGCAGGCATGCCTGCGCCGACCAAACGGTGCCCCGCAGCGCCTGCGCAAACAATGCGATGTCCCGACCATGCCTGCACCCCGAGTTTTGACGCACCTGCCGTGCCTGCGCCTTCCCACGCGTAGCGCCTACGACGACACAAAAAGAGCATGCCTGCGGTGCCCGCGCTGAAGCAGCGCTGCCCCAGCCATGCCTGCACTCTGACTATGCTTCGTGACGCTCCCTCGGCACCTGCGCGCTTGCCGTCCGCAGGCGCATGCACCGACGAGCCGCGGCGCCCAGGGGGCCTGCGCAGACACAGTCGGGCACGGGCCACTCCCGCTCCAGACGTGCTGACGTGCCCGCGCATGGCCCTGCGCCGAGCCTCCGCCCGCGAGAAGTTCGGCGGTGCCTGCGCGGACCAGAGGATGCTGGAGCCATGCCCGCACACGCCGACACCTCCGCAGTGCCCGCGCGCTGCCGAGCGCAAGGCGCCCGCCCCGACGAGGCAGGCCCACCGTGCACCGCACCACCCGCAGGCCCAGCGCCTTCGACCCGAACACGGGGCCCGGACGCGGCGCTCCGCTTCGGCCCCGCAGCCGGCACTCGGTATCGCAGCGTCTGGCCATCGCTCGGACGTCCATTTCCTGTGTCTTTGCGGTTTCGTGCGTGGTTTTTTCGCCAAATGATCAAGGATGCTCCTCGATGGTGTCCTCGCCGAGAAAAAACGCACACGTCCGAGCGATGCCAAGGCGTGGAGTCAGGCCCGGGCCAGGATGGACGCGGGCGGCAGCGCCGCGGACGCGGCGACAGCGGCGACGGCGGCGCCAGCGATCCCCAGCGCTGCGCCCCACTGCGCCACTCCCCCATGGCTGCCCCCAGCGCGCTCTCCCTGCCAGGGCTGGGACGTGAGGCGACAGGGGGAAACGCCGGCACCATACCTCCAAGGGTCATGATGCGAGTCGCCGCTTGGGCGTGGTGGTCCTCCTCCTCCGGCCGGGAACTTTGGGCCAGCGTGTCGCGGCGGCGGCCCGGCGACGCACTGTGCCTTGCGAGCGGCTAGCCTGTCGCTCCGCTCCGCGCGGCGGGATGCTGGGAAAGGCTCGGGAATTCGACGCCTGGAGAGTGGAAGCGGACAGCGTGTCGCGCAAAAGCGTGGCGAGCCAGAACCAGCGTAGCGCCACGCTACCCCAAAATTCCGGACCACATTCCTACTTCGCGCTCTCTCCCAAAAAAACCATCCGATTCTGCAAAGCGAATGGCTTGGGCCACCCGCCGTCACCTCGAAGCTGCGACCCCTTGCTGCAATGTGTACCCTGCGCCTATAAAAACTGTGCTGCGACCGTCCAGTCAGCAACTGTCCCCCTCAATGGAGTCCCACAGAGGAGGAGGAGGAGGAGGAGGAGGAGGAGGAGGAGGAGGAGGAGGAGGAGGAGGAGGAAAGGTGCAGGAGGAGGAGGAAGAGCAGGAGGAGGTGTGAGGGAGGAGGAGGTGTGGAGGAGGAGGAGCAGGAGGAAGAGGACCAAGACCAAGACCAAGAGACGCTGGGGATCAAACCAAGTCCGACGGGCAATATTGCAGGGGCCTACACAGGCCTGCGGGGAGAAAAAAAACAAAACTAGATCCCTGCGTGGGGCATAGCCCAACAAATCCAAACCCTCGATGGGGAGCCCTCGCAGGAGGGAACAGCCCCCACTGGCCCCAGAGGCGCACCCATCGCGCGGGGTGCCGCGCTGGGTTGCCTGCGGGCGCCAGTCAACCTCTAACCACGACGTCTCGAATTCACAGCTCCGCGAACCGACAGCCTCGGACGGACACTCCTCACTTCGGACGAGCTCGCCGCCTTCCCTTCGGCACGATCGGTCGCAGCAGCAGCCACTCTCTCTTCCTCCACCCCCTCCACCCCCGCCCCCGCCCGAACAACAAAACAATCCCTCCCCGTGACACGGCAGTCCTTGATGACCCCGCGCATCACCAGCATGCGGAGGCGCTCGCTGCTCTGCAGCGCACTCGGCAGGGAGAGCTGGGGCGGGGGCAAGGTCCTGCAGCGGACCTCCTGGGAGTTGGAGGAAGGAGTAGGAGGGACGGAACGGGCAGGTTCACTCCGTGGGGCCGACGACGACCTCTCACCCCGTCCATGAGGTAAATGAACACGCGAATCTGTATCTTCAGTAGTGTTTGCACCAGCAGTACTCGCTTGAGGAATATCTGAATGACCACCCACAACATCAGAATGAGTATCATCTCCAAAAGAGGTCTCAACATTCGTCTGTTCGGTCATCTGGTCAGCCTGGAGCACACCACAATCCTGAGCACGACTATCACCAGCTGCACCCACAGCTGAAGAATGAACTGGGCCCAAGGGTGGTTGACAACCAGGCTGTTGGGGACGAATGATATCTCCATCCAGACACTGGCTGCGAATTCGGTCTTGATCAGATCAACTGAAGGTCTCACCGCTTGCTCAACAGCTGGCCAATCTTGCGCTCGAGGGGCCCACGTGGGGCCGAGCCTACGAGCCTCTTGGCCCCTGCCTCCGAGAGAATGCGATCGAGGATCTCGCGAAGCACGACGCCAGCGGGCCGTGCGGTCTGGATGTGCACCTGGAACTTCACCACGCCCTTCATCTTGGCGCTGGTGTGCTCGCCCCTCGGTGCTTTGATCGAGAAATGCGTGACGTACTGAGTGATGTACTCTGCTGGCTGGCCCTTGACGTGCGTCTGGAAGAAGTTCGCCATGGGCTCCTGAGCTGCACCCTGCCCCGCCTTGACCGCAGCCGTCATCACCATAAAGAAAACAGTTACGAACGGGGGGCCCAGCTGTCCTACGTCGATGCTGTCGTCTGTCTTCATCTGCTCGTTCAGGCCGGCGACGGCTTCGGTGTAGAAGCGATTCGCCTCGATGCCCGACTTCGAGAGGAAGTGAGGCTCGGGGACGAGGTACGTCTCGAGAACGCTGCCTTCGAGAAGAGCCTGCTCCCGTGCCGAGATCAGCGCCAGGCGCGCCTTCAACTCGGCGAGCTCCTCGAGCTTCTTGTTGGACTTGGCGCCTCGGCCTGCCTGGGCAACTTCCTGAGTGCCTGAGCCTTGTCCTACGTTGGCCTGCTTCGAGCGATCGCCGCCTTCGGGTGGGGCAGGGCGCTTCGCGCCGCACACCGCCATGGCCCACATTGGCCGCTCCTCGCCGAACCTCTCGACATCCCAGTCGTCGCCTGGCACCCTTAAGAGGCTGTATTCGAGGCTGGTAGGGCAGGTGGGCACAGGCGTGTTCGTTGTAGATAGACAAGGATGTACAGCTTGAACCGCAGACCCCACAAACGATGACGGACTCAGGCTCAATCATCGGCCTCAGCGTGGAAGCCTTGTTGGCCAAGCATCGCCCGAAGTTAATGGCTCCGTGAAGGTGTTGTTGCGCGCTTTTTCTGTCCCAAAAGACCTCCTTGCAAGAGACACACTGGTTCGTAACCGTCAAAACTTGAGAGAGCTTGGACGAGTTGTGGACCAAGCGCAGGTGGTTGACCAGCCCCTTCCTCGAAGTGAACGAAGCCCCACAGGGGCCATTCTCGTCTGTCCACGGGCACCTGAAATCCTTAGAGACACATAATGCACCTTCTTCGAGAGCCTCGGGATCTGCCGGTTGGAGGCCAGGGGGAGCAACTTCAACATCGAAATGCCGACTACGAAGAACCCGAACATCAATCTTCACGAAGTCCTGAGAGACCTCGAAGTCGAAGAGCCCCAAAATCGAACCTTCAGCACGGGCCCAGCACGAGGCCGCATCATCACTCCACTTGACGAGCTCCTCAAGGTCCCCCTGGAACTGCACGGCCCACGGCTTTGCGTTTATCCCAAGAGACCCGTTCTCCGTGAAAACCTCGGTATGCTCAAAAGGGAGAGAGCCAAAGATAGCCGCCAGCATCTGCTTGTGCGATCCTGGTCGTCGCACACACGCCTGCAGCCAACGCAGACGACGAACCTGGAGTTCGCTGGCAAGAGGAGAGAGGCGCCACCACTGATACACCTCACGAGTGGAAAGACATCTTCTCCGTCCGTCCTCCTCCTCCCAGCTGGCCTCGCCACGCATTGCTTTTCTGGCAAGACCTTTGACAGCAAGCTCCAACGTCTGCAACTGGGACGCCGTAGGCACAAAAGCTTCTACACCAGCAAGCGCTGTGTTGACTACGTGACACAGCAAAACACATCTCTTCCACCTGTACGGCACCCCCTTCTGGAACCAGAATTGCCCCATCCTGTAAAACGCACCTTTCATGGCTTTGATCCGTTTCACGAGCTCGACGCTGAAGCTCTGAGTGGGGGTCAGATACGGCCCCAGGTACCGCACCTCATCCGTCACACGCGTCTCAAGGCCTCTGAGGGCCGCAGCTGCGCCTCGCTTGGAGCTCTGGGGGACCCGTAGAAGCGCATCCTGCTTACTCTTGTTCCTCTTCAAACCTATCTTGTCAAGCTCCTGATCCAGAAACTCGTCGTTGTCTCTAAGAGCCTTCAGGAACCGATCTAAGTTGAAGGGAGGGCCTACAATCAGCTTCTTCAGGAGATCATCTGCGAACTTCTGGAGACCTAGGTACACCTGGGGCGCCCCTGGGATCATGGCCTCGGGGATCCTGGGCCACATGAGCTGCTCGCTCTCGGTGTCGGCCTCCGCACAGCGTTCTAGCCATCTATCGACTGTTGGGCGGAAGACGCGGACGAACGATCGAACCGCATACGGATCACCCTGAAGGGACCCACACCCAAGCCGAAGAAAAAGGAGACCTTCGGCAGCAGGCAAAACACATCCTGCTCGTCGAAATCGCCGACGACAAAGATTCAGGTCCCTGGGCTGCACGAGGGTACGAGTGGCCTGATCGAGCGCCTCCCACTTTGACGACGCGAAGGCGTTGGAGAGGTCTTTCAGAGAGTCGACCCAAGAATACCCTGCCTGAGAAAGGCGCCATGAGAAACACATGTTGGTGACAATCGCATCCTCACGACGACGAGCTCTCAAGAAACCGCGATCGCAGTCAGAGTTGGTATATTTCGGTCCGATGCGCATCAGGCCCTCGAAGAATCCTTTTCCCACAGGATCAAGTCCGTGTACTACCCTTTTTCCCTTCGGTCCAGGCGCAGCTGCCTTGGGCAAAGCAAAGCACTTGCTAACGTTCCACAAACCTGGGACGATGCCCCAGAAACGAATCATACAAAATATGTTATGCAACCACTTCCGACAATAAACTCCATCAGTGATCGTGCGATCAGTACCCAGTCCTGGACGAGAATCTGGTTGGTTGCTCTCGCGCTCAGCAGACGTACGAATGGAGAGCAGCCACAATTCTAAAGGTAAAGACCATCCAGGAACACTGCGCCGCTTGGACGCACGCTTAAAATACCGTTCAATCTGCTCCATATCAATAATAGACTTTGCCCACGCTTGTTGCATTCGCTCATCAAACTGCTCAAGGGGTAGGAGCAGGCCGAGTCCACAGCTGCTGCAAAGCTGCCATGTCATCCCAGCACACTCTTGATGCTTGAAGCCCGCCATCACAGCCGGCCTGAGATAAGTGAGCGAACCATTCATCACCAGTTGGAAGCATACCATCGAGACGACTGAAGTCCCGTCTGGCTTTACCATATCGTCCACCTGCGAGTCGAAGTGAAAGCCGATTGACACTGGCCAAGTCACGACTTCGCCAAGAGGCCCAGATTTCCTCAACAAGTTGTTCTCGCCGTCGTTGCTGATCTGCTTTGTATAGGGCCTTACACTGCTTTGTCAATCGAGTTAGTTCTTCACAGCATGCAACATACTCCTCACTCGATAAGCCTTGCCCCAATTTTGACCGAAGATCCCGTCGCCGAGCCAGAAGATCCAGTCGTCGCTGGGCAAGAGCCGAGCGAGTCGAGCCTGCAGCAGGCCCCTTCTTGAATACAGCAGCACCAGCTGTTCGGAGAATTCGATCCAACCTGTCGAGCACAATATTGGGATCAAGACATGCGTGTTCAATATTTGGCCATTCCTGCTCAAGCAAAGGCTCCACGCTACGCATGAACTGCTCCCTCAACGGGCCGCCTCGGATTGCCTGCATGAGCCTGTCACGATCCCACTGGACTTGCTCAATGGGCCTGCCATCAGGCCTGAGTTCAACAGCACGTTGGTGAGCAATTGATACATGGGGCACCCTCACTTTCACAAGTACAGGTATGTGGTCGCGTGGTTCAGCACATTTGATTACTTGTAATCGCCTACCCAGTCGATGTATTGGGCTAGCACACGTTATTTGTTCGGTCCAGTAGAGCGGCAGGGCGACATGATCAATCATCGACGTCCCCCCTCTGGAGCCATAATATGTCGGACAAAATGAACGGATTGTCGTCGGAGAAAATAAACCGAACTCGTGCATGATTTCCCGAAAGCTCTCACCTGCCCCTCCTCTATGGTGTTCTTTGCTTCGGACGCGCCCAACACTAGGAGTACCAATGTCGACCCAGTCCCCAGAGACCTTACTGGTGCCCAGACCGTCGTTGATGTCCCCCATGAGAATAGGATGAACTCTAGAGGGCAGTCCCCGAAGACACTCACGAACACACTCCTTCATTTTCCCGCAGCACGTGATATACTGTTTGACCTGTGAAGCTCTGGAGGGCCTCGGGGGGAAGTAGAGAACGATCACCATGTACAAGAAACCACCTCTGGATAACTCGACAGCTAAACCACGACCCTGCAGAGGTCCAGGGGGCACAAGTATTATTCGTATGTTACGTTGGGTCCAGGCCTTGGGCAGCAGGAGAGAGCATCCCGCAGCACGTGTCACAAAACCTCCTGCCCTCCATCCCGCATGTACAGCCAGTCGCTCCCCTAGACGCTGTAGCCGATACCCTTCACGATCGTGCTCACGAAGCTGCGTGCCTGGGAGGCCCACCAGATCGAAAGCACCCAATTCCGAGATAAGGTCACTGAGACGGTCACCACACGCATGGAGAGGGTTGTAGACCATGGCAGAGAGAATTCGAGATCCCATGGCGCTGGCCGAGGACCCCAGTCGGGAGGAGGTAACAGACCATAGGATGTGATTTCATGGCCTAGTTTGCTGCGCGGCCCTGCAAGCCGTGGCGGCAGCTGGAGGAAGAGGAGGAGGAGGAGGAGGAGGAGGAGTTCCGAGCCGCTCCGCCCTCGTTCCTGAGCAACGCCCACGGCCCAAGCACCTCGAAAACCCTTGCTGACCGACCAGCGTCATCATGCCCCTGCCCCCTGTATCGCCCACATCGGCGTTATCTTCACCGCTGCACGATCTCATCCTCCCGTCCTCCCCACCGTATCCTCTCATATCGTCCCCTCCTCCCCTCATCCCCCTCGTCCTCTTCCTCATCCTCCTATATTCCTGCCCCCGCATACGCTCCTAGTTTTCCTGCTCATCCTGGCCCATCGTTTGTCTAGACCTCCTTTTCCTGGCGTTCCGCCTGAAGCGCCCACTTCGCTCCGCAAGGAATTGTGCGGACCTTGCCCACTGCTTGTTTTTGCTGACGGCGCTGACGAGAGAGTTGTAGGTGATCACGTCGTGCTTGACCCGCTCGCGCTTCATCTGGAGATTCGATTTCGCCCGAGGCCATGGACGAGAGAAAAACTAAGAAAGCTGAGCCTGGAAGTCCTCAATTGTATCCGACGGTATCAAGGAATCCCGGCTGGGGCGAACAGAAGACCCACCCTCATCGAGCCACTCTCGTTCCCTCTCTGTCTCTCGCTCTCTCTCTCTCTCTCTCTCTGTCTCTCCTTTTGTTCTCTCTATCATTGCCCCTGTCACCTACAAGGACAAATCGTTACATGAACATACATGGTAGCCACCTCTGTGCTATCTGCGTGCTGCAATATAGGTTGTGCAATCCATTTTGTGCGATCTACGTGGTGTAATACATTTTGTGCACCTTGCGTGGTGTAATATACGTTGTGCAACCCATGTGGTGCGTTCTATGCGACCCACTAAATGTTGTGCCGACTACGCGATGCAGTCTGAATGGTGTAATAATACCATGGGGTGCACGTCGCCAAAACCGCTGTGAATTGTCAACTCCACTGCTCGCGCGATCATCCCACTCAACCACCCGCAACTTGGTTTTCACAACTCATGCGACGGCGATTGCGATGACACCTTGGCGTTCGCTGGCGCATCTCTGCGGCCGCGCTGGCCCGCGCACTCTCGCGCGCGCAGCCGCCAGCTAGTCTAGCGCGACCGACGCAGCCGCGGTGGCGATGACCGCTGGAATCTTCCCAGCGGGCTCTGTTGTGCGAGTCGGTGGCTTGGGCGGGTGCGGTATCATGGCGACGCCGACAATGGTAGACACGATGACGAGAATAACGATCATGGTGGCGATGGTGGTGATGACAACGGCAAGGCCAATGTCGGCACCGATGTTGATCACGCCCGCGCTATCGATGACGATGTCCTCGCGCCGGGGATCGGTTCAGGAAGGACTTCGACATGCGCGCGCGGCCGACGTTTGCGAATGGCCCCCGTGGCATTAGTTGACACGGATCGTGCCCCCTCCCCCCAGCACGCGCACAGGGGCGTTCGGCTGACTTCGACATGCGGCGCGAGCGGCTTGTTTGGCAGAGTGTGATGACTGTGGGAAAGCGAGGAGATGTTCTTGCGAATTCGAAAGAGCGCGCAACATGTTGCAAGAAACAGATGTTGCAAAACCAGATGCTGTATAACTACGGGACAATCGCTTTTTAACTCCTTACAAAACCGAGCGTTGTTTGAAAGATTTTGGCGCGCGCGCGACGACGCGCGCGCGCGAGCACTTCGCCCCGTTCTTTGCACGGGGGTTCTTGTGATCGCACGCGCGCACGGGCGCGCCTGCGATTTCGACGAGCGCGCGCGAAAGGCCCGTTGGACAGCATGATCTGATTTTGTCCTCACCTGTGGAAACGATGACTTTCTAGCGGAGTAGCAAGAGCGCAAGCGCAGGTTGTTTGGAAAACCCTGTTGCGAAACGATGTATAGTTACATGTCTTCGTGCTTCAAGATTTGAAATCTTCACGGGAACTGGTTTGTTTCTATGAGTTCGGCATGCGCGCGCGACGGCGCGCGCGCACTTCGTCCAGTTTTGCACGAGGGATTCCGGACAACTGATGGCTTTTGACATACGAAAGCGCCAGCGTATGACTGCTTGCAATGGACGACGGGGGGGGGGGGGGAGCGAAAACGGCCTGCCTGGGGCGGTGCGAATTACTATTTAGGATCGACGATTGGGGCAGAACCGCACGTCCATTGCAATGCGAAAAAGTGGCCGGCTAGGCCAGGGGGAGAGAGCTCGATGCCAATCGTATCTTAGAACGGAGAACCTTCGCGGTGCGAGTGATTCTGGGGAGCTCGGAAACGTCACCTCCGCAGCTGGCGCAAACGCCCCGCCCGCCCACCCGCAATTTGGATTGCGCGCCCCGCGCGGCGGCGATTGTGATAGGTGCTCGGCGTCGGCTGGTTCATGTATGCGGCCGCGCTAGCCCGCGCATGGTCGCTCGCGCGACTGCTGGCTCGTCTACTGCGACCGAGGCGGCCGCGGCGGCGCTGTCGGGCACGCCAGCGAAAGTCGCCGGCCCAGGCGGGCGCGGTAGCGCGGCGACGCCGACGGCGGCGGGCGCGACGATGGCAACTGCGACGCTGGCAGCGATGAAGACGATGGCGACGGCAAGGCCAATGGCGGCGCCGATGATGATCGCGCCGCCTACGATGAAGATGTCCTCGCGTCGGCGATGGCGGTTTTGGAAGATTCGACGCGCGCGCGGCCGACGCGCGCGAGTGGCCCGCGGGGCGCGCCAGGACAGGCCCCTCTCCCCCCAACGCGCGCGCAGGGGCGTTCGAACGGTTTCGGCGCGCGGCGCGAGTGGCCCCTTGGGTCAAACTTGTAAATGTCGGAAACGCATGCTCTGAAGCATTAGCCAGAGCAGAGCGCGCGCGCGGGTTCCTGACCTAAGATCGCAAACCCACGTGGCGCCAGGTGTTCTCGGCGCGCTCGACGTTGACATCCGCGCGAAACACCAGGTCCCCGCAGGTTGTCGGCACGCGCGCGCGACCTCATTTTGCGCCCAAGGCCCTTGCGACCCCGCGCGCGCGAGGGGGCCCGGGCGCCCACGACGCGCGCGCGAGAGCACGTTTGGCAATGTTTGAGAAAATGTTGATTCAGATATCCGCGCAAGTGCCCGCGCGCATTTCTTTTCTGTGCAACATTCCTGTTGGGGGCCCACTGGTGATCTAGATGCGTCGGAACACTCGGCTTCAAATTCCATTCGAAGCCGCAGCTGTTTGAAAAATGCTGGCACGCGCGCGCAACGACGTCAGCGCGCTCACTCGAAAAGTAACGAATGTTCTTACGCGCGCGAACGATGGTTTGCAGGGGCTGGCGGGGGGGGGCGACAAGGGACTGCCAGGGGCGGGCGATCTCATATTCAAGATGGACGATCGTAGAGAACCACCTCGAACTTGCAACACAGAAAAAGCCGGCCGCTGAATCCAGGGCGAGCGGGAGGGGGGGGGCACCCGAGTACTCTTGGCAATTTTTTGTTACGTAATGTGCGCGGCGCATTCTGCGCTGCGCAATCCGCGCGGCGCTATCTGCGTGGCGCCATCAAGGTTGCGCGAGCCGCGCGGAGAAACTGCGTGGCGCACTATATGTTGCGCGCTCAGTGTGAGAGCAACGTACGTCGCGCAATCCGCGCGGCGCAATCCGCGCGATTCAACCCGCGTCGCGCAGGCTACACTGCGCCGCCCAAGGGGTGCAACGCATGCGGAGCAATGCATGTTGCGCGCTCTGCGCGGTGCTACCTGCGCGGCGCACCCTGCGCGGCGCTGTGAAGCTCCGACAAGGTTGGAGTGGCCAGATCTACTGCTCGCGCAACCATCCCGCCCGCCAGCCCACAACTTGTCTTGCAAAACCGACTGCGATGGGTGCTGGGCGTCGGCTGGCGCGTCTCCGAGGCCGAGCTAGCCCGCGCGCGCTTGCGCGCAAGGCGGTCAGGTTGCTCGGCGCGACCGACGCGGCCGCGGTGGCGCTGACCGCTGGGCACTTCCCAGCGGGCACTTCAGTGCGAGACGGTGGCTTCGGCGGGCGCGGCATCATGGCGACGTCGACAACCACCGGCGCGACGATGAAAGCACCGGCGACGGCGACGACAGCGGCGACGACGACGGCAGGGCCAATGACGGCGCGCCAGTGCTGATCACGCCCGCCGATGGCGATGGCGATGTCCACGCGTCGGCGATGAATGTCTTGGAGAGAATTCGACGCGCACGCGGCAGACGCGCGGGATTGGCCCGCGTGGAACTTTGCAAGGGTCGCGCCCCACCCCTTCGCGCGCGCCCGGCGCGCGTGCGAGAGCGTTTGAGTGAAGACAATGAGAACCGGATGCTTTCTTCAGATCTCGCAGCAGCACGCGCGAAAGCTTTTCTGAACAAGTGAAGCTACACAACCATGTATACTTAAATGTTTTCGGGGTGAGTCATGAGGTTTTTGACGGGTTCGGCACGCGCGACCGACGACGCGCGCCCGTGCTTCGCCCAGTTTTTGCCGAGGGATTCTTGCGACAGCACGCGCGCAATGGCACCCGAACGATTTCGACATGCGCACTCGAAATTTCCGCTTGGTCGAATTACTGTTTCAAAAATACAATCTCTGAGGCGTCACAAGAACGCGACCCCATGCTTTGGAAAATCACGTTTAGAAGCCATTTCTATCCTACACGACGAGGCACTCGACTGTGAAACCTGAACGGATTTAAGCACGCGCGCGCGACGGCGCGCGCACGCGCACTTCGTCCCATATGAGACAAGGGGTTCTCAGAAAGCGATGATTTGTGATAAACAAAAACGCCTGCATAGTATGTTTGGCAGAAGATGACGGGGGGGGGGGGGGGCGATTAACGTCTGCCAGAGGTGATACGAATTCATCTTGAGAATCGGCGATGAGGCAAAGTCATATGTAAAACACAACACAACAAAGTGGCCCGTTAAGTCCGGGGGCGGGGAAGGTAGATCCCCATGGTCTTGAAAGTTTGTGCGGCGCAACTATTGTGGCGCAGTCTACGCGGCGCGATCTATTTCGCGCAACCGTTGGCGACGACGGGGCGGCGACGGCGGCAGCCAGAGCGGCGCGACGGCCGGACCAGACGACGGGCGGCCACGAGGCGGCGACGGGGCGGCGACGGCGGCCACATAACCGCCGAAGTGGCACACAGTGCATGTTGTTAGACATGAGGAAGCCATAAATGCAAAAACTGTTTGGGGAACTCTTGGAGGTCCGCGCGGAGCGCAGAAACCGCGGATCGGCGCCAGGCGCCGCCGGGGGGCCCCAGCGCCGATCCGACAAATCCATTCGGACCTCCGTGAGTTTGCATGTTCATGAAATCGTCCAAGACATGCGACGGACTGATTTTTTCAGGACGGCGCCCCTGGAAGTCCCGACCTATTCTCCGGGGCCGGCTTTTCGTCCTGAGTCGTTTTTGGACGGCCCCGAAGCCAGGCGAGGGCTCCCCGAGGCCGAAAATTGCCAAAAACCTCCCGTCCTGATTTTTTGAACGACGCGATCATGTCTTGGGATTTGTTCCCTGATCATCGACGACGCTCCTCCCTCGGCCCCCTGGCCCACATCTCTTTTCCAAGCCGCTGTTCTGGGGCAGGGCCAGGCTGGCCCCCTGGCTCGGCGACTCCGCAAGGCGCGGTCTGCGCAGGGTGCGGCTTGCAACCGGCGCCCCCGGGGGGCGGGCGGGAACTTCGATCGAGCGCGGATCCGCCGCGCCCCGAAGAGGTCCGACGAGGACGGCCCCCCGCCCCCTACGCCCGAACGGCGCCGACCGCATGCCACAGCCCGGCGTTGCCGCGCCCTCTGTCGTCGCCGACTCCTGGCGCGCGCGTCTCGGGCACGCGCCGGGCGGCGGCCCGGTCTGAGAGCTGCCCGCCCCGCGCGCGCGCGCCCGGAGGCGGTCCAGGAATCCAGCCGCGGCCCTCTCCGGCAGCTCGGGAGCTGCCGGGCCGGCGACGAACAAGCAACGCGCGCTCGTGCCCAGAATGCAAGACGACGAGCGATGCGATGTAATGCGGGGGGACGGGTCACACGATGATTCTCGAATCTCGGCTTCTGCTTCGGCTGCGTCTAGCCCGTTGACCGCCCAGGCCCGCGCCCGAGGAGCGTGGGAGGGGAACGGTTCAAAAAAACAATGTCCCAGAGTCGAGGACCCGCTTTTCTCGTCGTCGCCCCGGGCGCCTCCACCCGGACGCGACCATATCCCTATCTCTATGCTGGCCATCTCCTCATCACGATGCCAATCTTAGGGATTTCCTGATTATTTGAGGGCGAATCCCTAAGATTGTCATCGCCTTTTGGCGTGTCAATCTTAGGGATAGGGATACGTTCGAGGCTGGTAAGGGCCGGCCTACGGCGTCGGATGGGGCTGCGTCGCCGCGAGAGCGACGTCGAACCGGGCTGCGCGCCTGTAGAGGCGCCGCGGCAGCACCGGGCGCCACGCGGAGGCGCTGGGGGATCGGAGCCGATGCGGGCCGAGCTGGCCAGGCTCGAAGCCCACGCAGTTCGGACCTGTGCGTCGGAATCGGCCCGGCATCGACATCGAGCGCGGGCCGGCAGGGAATCCCAGTCGACCCAGAAGCGGTCGACGCCGACATCGAGCTGGACCCCGCCGCCGTGGCCCTCTCACGAGGCAGGCGGGGGCTTCCTCCTCGAAGGGCCCCCCGTCTCGCCATGCCCCCCGCTGCCCGCCGCCTGGGCTCGACGGCCAGCCCGGCCTCAGCCTGCCGTCGCCGAACACATATGCGAAGCCACGAGGTGTGCCGCGACAGAAGGCCAGCCGGGGACCGCGGGCGTGGAACGCGGCGTGGAGGAGGGGGGGGAGGAGGAGGAGGAGGAGGAGGAGGAGGAGGAGGAGGAGGAGGAGGAGGAGGAGGAGGAGGAGGAGGGGGGAGGAGGAGGAGGAGGAGGAGGAGGAGGAGGAGGGGGGAGGGGAGGAGGAGGAGGGGAATGAGGAGGAGTCGGGGGAGAAGGAAGAGGGGGAGGGAGGGGGGGGGGGAGGAGGAGGAGGAGGAGGAGGAGGAGGAGGAGGAGGAGGAGGAGGAGGAGCCCTAGAGACCCTTTGCTGCTGCTCCCCTTCCTCTGTCGTCTCCGCTCCACGTCTGTCTGCGCGCTGCCACCGCGGCGCTGGAGCACGCCCCCCCACCCCCCCCTCGGGAGCGGCCAAGAGGGGGGTGTCCAAGAAGGGGGGGTGCAAATCACGACCGGCGGCACGTGCGCGGCCCAGCGGGGGGGTCAGGGACGCAATGAGATAAAATAAGAAGAGGCGCCATGAAGCCTGGGGAACTATCATGGCCCACGCCATGATATCCACCCCCCTAGTCATCATCCCCCTGTTTGCCGCCCCCGACCTCCCCACCGCCACCCCCACATCGCCAGCGCCATCGCAGGTGTCGCAAAGGCTCCCCCGACGCGGATGGAAGAGCGCAGGCCGTCCGGGACAGGCCGGCGGAAGCACGAGTCTGGAAGCGGCCGAGGCAGGCCGGGATTCGGCCCGTGGCCCGTGCCTCGCTTCAGCCTGAGGTCTCAGCAAGACAAGGCATGGCCCATGGGACATCAGCGCGTTCATGCAGGGCAGCATCGACTGATGACGTCACCTGTCAACGTATGAATGAGAAGTGCCGACTGGTAAATAAGGAAGCGCTCATCATGGAGAGGGACTGGAAAACCCACGATGAACGGCCCTCAGCGAACGGAGCGCCCAAGCTGCACCACTGTTCGGGGGTTGGCCAGCGAGAATGGGTGAGGATGCGCCCAAAATGACATGGGTGCCCTGGCTTTTCTTGGAAGAGCACCTCATCTCCACTGCGGGAAATGATCGTCGCTGATGCCAGCAAACCAAGACTGGTGAGTCCCACCGAGTCTGTGCGCTCTGGCTGTCGCCCCGCAGCTGAGCAACTCGCTCTTGCAATATACTCGGGCACCCTGAACTCCGAAGCCCAGTCTAGGTACGAAATCGTCCAGATGCCGATGCCGATTCTGGAGAATTCCCCGACTAGCGTCAAACGCGTCAAGAATGCGACAGCGAAGAGCGCAAACACAAGCAACACGCATGCCTTTCAATGTTGCGCATACTCGCGCCAAGTAGTGCGGAAAGAGGGCGCGCATAATGAATGCCCGGAGCGAAGCTTGGCCTGGGAGGTAGCAACTCCCAATCTTGCACGAGCCAGAAACGACGTGGGCGCGCGACCTGCACCGCGCGCGTCCACCCCAAAATCGAAGGATCATCCTGCCTCTCGGCAGGACCCCGCCAAAATTATCTCGCCTGGGTGACGAGCTGCCAGGGCTGGCATCGACCGCTTGACAGACCTCACGGGCTGGCATCGACCGCCCGCTGATCCCATTGATCAGCCCCAGACCTCTCACGGAGTCATTGGACTTCCTCACTTGGCATCCCTCACGGATTTGATCCTCAGGTGTGGTCTTAAAATTAAACGCGGGGGCGCGTGCACACAACACTACATGCAACGGCGGCAGACAGCGAACTGTTAAAGCATCTGGTCTTTCAGTCCTGCTGGTGCAAGAAAGGCACGTCGTTGTAGTTGGCCGAACCATTCTTTCCTGGGTCCCCCCACAACTCGCACGTCTCTCTCGATCGCTAGCCTCAACGTTCGTGGGCAGAACGTATGCCAATTCAGCGGGTTGCTGCCGTGAACCGAGGGGCAGGAGACCGTTTTTTGCTGAATCGGCGATAACCCAAGTTAAGCCCAGGGGGGAGGAATGGGCCAGCCGATAACCTAACCTGGGCAGCCGTGCATATGCCCGCGCCCCCCCCACCCTGGACCTGCACAACGGGCGGGGGCAAGCCCCATAACCCGGAATGTCGCCAGACCCCAACAAAAAACAGCCTCCAGCTCAGCAGCGCCCCATCAGGCAGGGAACTGCGGGGAGGCGGGGGGGGGGGGGCAGGGCCCACAAACAACCGACCGGCAGGTCCGCGTCGTGCCGACATTTGCGCTGGCTTCTGGCACCGCGTGGATTCTTGAAGCCTTGGACGGTCGTGGCCTTCTGGCAGTCGAGGTCGCCAACGCCCCTCAAGATTGAACGACCGCGCTGGCGCCGCTACCACGTCGACACGTCACGGACCCAGGGCACGAGTGATCCGAAATAACAAAACAACCAAAAACATAGAAACCTTCGGAATTCCATGCGGAACTCTCGGATCGGCGCTGGACGCCACTCCCTGGCGCGCGGGGAGCGCCATGGGCGGCGCTGAAGGCGCCGCAAGAGGGCGCTGGCGCACATCCGAGAAAACCGCGCGGAGCTCCGACAGATAGTGCTCATGAAATGCTTGCCCTGTCCCAGTGTCGGGGTCGGAGAGGCTCTGGAGCCCCGCGTGCTGCGCATGTGCCAGGGCCGTCCGGCGGCGGTGGCTGCTGGATCCCGTCGCCCCTTGCAGTGCTGGCACGGGCATTGCTGCGGGACTCGACGCCCACGCCAGATGCAGGGCATGACAGGGCGGGACGGGAGCGGCGTGAGCAGAGGCACGCCTCTGTGCGGGCGCCACATCCACAGACACGCTCGCGTCGTGACAAAATCACGACGGGAGGTTTCTGGCCACTTGCGAACCCCTGAGGGCCCTCGTCGGCCCCTGGGACGGTCAAAAGGATCGGCCCTGGGGGAAGGGTCGGGACTTCTGGGCCCCCCGTAGCGATAAAGTCAGGACATCACATGTCTGGGTCGCGTGCGGGCGAGAGCAAAAATGTCAGGCTGGGGAGGTGCAAGAAGCCAAGAGGTGGTCTGAAAGCTCCTCGTCGAACAATCCCAGCGCCTGCTGCCACTGGTTGCTCTTCTCGCACGCGCCTGGGCAGGCAGTGCTCTCGGGGCTGATCGCGATCAGAGCACGTCGCTCCGTTACCCAACAGAGTACATCGCATACAGTTTAGGGAAGGAAGAACGGTAAAAAGTAAACTTGTCCGCCGTCAGGGACGCCTGCCCCGCGGCGACTAGAAAGTTTATACCCCTACGTGGCCCCGTAAGGGTATAAACTTTCCAGCCGCCCTGGGACCGGCGCCCCCGACAGCGAAACAAATATATGGTATATACCGTTCTTCGCCCGTAGAATACTGCCGGGTGCGCTGGACAATGGGGGCCAGGAAGAGGGGGGATGCGCATCAGGGTCCGAGGCATGTGCGCAGACGAGCGGGGGCTAGCGGATGCGTTGGGAGAAGAAGAGAGGGGCCCTGACATCCGGGAGAGCTCGTGGCTCCGGCCGTGACATATCCTCTTCCCCCCAGCAGGTCCTCAACGCCCTCTTGGCCGCCCCCGAGCTGGGAGGGAAGCTCATGCCTTGCCCGACCTATGCTGGAACTCTTTTTCAGGGTGCGCGCCTGCCACGAGTCTGCGAGGCCCTGCGGAGCCCGCCCGGGGTAAGGGGGTGGGAGGAGGAGCAAGCAGCGCACGGCAGCAGCAACGGCGGCGGCGGCGTCCACGCCTGGAGGTCACACGTTTCAAGCAAGCGCGAGAGGAGCTCTGTGGCGAGGAGAGCAGGCGATGGGGGAGGGAAGCCGCGCGCCCGGGCGCGCAGCCAGGTGGGCGCGCACCTCTGTGCCCGCACACACGCACGGGAGACTCAGCAAACTCATCTGGCGCGCGCGAGGACCCTGCATCGAAAACCTCGCCGCGCGCTGCCTTGAACGCCCGCAGCGCCCCGCCGCGACCAACGGGCAGCGGCTGCAGAGGCAGCGATCAAGTGGTTGGCGGCAGCAGAGCAGCATATTTCGGAGGTCCGCGAGGATTTCTTGCGTCGGCGTTGGGCCGCCCGGGGGGGGCACTCGATGTTAGGCACCACCCACACAAGCAAGTCCAGCACGTGAAGTGACCGCGGAGCGGGGCTTGCCCACAACAGTGGTAACAGGGGGCATGTCGACCCATATCCCAGGCTTGGTGGAATTTCCGAATGGACCAGAAGTTTGGGGCTCCACTCTGGGATAGGGGCCCGCCAGGATTTGGATTTGCCCCCTTGGGGTGTATCCCAGACTTCCCCCAATTTTTTCTGAGCAGCCAAACTTTTCGGTCGGAACTCGGGGACCTCGGAGGGGAAAGTCACCTGCGAGGGGCACGATTCCCGCACACCACCCCCACAAGGCAAGCTGATCTGGCACAGCGTCCTGCCGTCGCTCGGACGTCCATTCCCCGTGCATGCTTCGGCTCCGCGCGTGCGTCTTCTCGCAAGCGGACCCGAAGGGCTCCTCGATGGCCCTCGCCGGAAAAAAATGCACACCTCCGTCGCTAATCCACGCCCCCTTGATCCATGTTTGCGATCGCCTGAGACAGGGTGCCCTCGCGGCGGCAGTGGCCACAGATCGGCACCCGACCTCCAGGTGGCCCCACGCCCTTTCGCTGGCGCGCGGGTCGTGCCACAGGCGGCACCCGAGGCGCCGCCAGGGGTACAGAAGGAGTTCGACCACAAGAACCTTCCACAAGAAAGCCAACCCTAAGACCACAGGACGCCCATTGATTTTTGGTGTAGGAACGTCACACTTTCCGTAACAGCACCACCGAACCCCAAAAACCCAGGGTACCCTGGAGGCAGGAAGGGTGTTTCTTGGCATAGGCTTCCATTGTATGGAGATGGCGTACAGCGACGAGTCGGAGGGTCCTCGGGTGCCATCTTGGAGGCCATCCTGGGCCATTTGGGGCCCATCTTGGGCCATCCAAGGGGCCACCTGGAGCCCTCCTTGGCCCGTCGTTGGGGCCTCTTGGAGGGGAGCCTGGGGGCTGTCAGAACAGGAGCACGAATGGTTGCGAATTGGTCACGTCAGTACGTCCCCCCAGTAGTTCGCGCGGAGCTCCGATTCAGTTTTTGTGCGCGCTGTTTTTTGGGGGAGGAGAGGGCGCGACCACAGAGCTTCCCCTGACTTGCCCCCGACCGCTGTGCGAATCAGAAGATCGCCAGGCAAATCGGACATATCACACGAGCCGACCAGTGATAGGCATACTCATGCACTGAACCGCGGCCTGAAAGAGTAACGAACGTGTCGCCTGCGAAAGGATAAAAAGAATCGAGGAGAAGGTGGCGCCACAACATGACAAACGATCCCCAAGTCAGCTTGAGTGACACGGGAATCGAACTAGGACAGGGACCAAGAAGCTCGCTCTACGAGCGCACACCATCACGCTTGCATCGACCTTGATGTACAGGACCCCCCGATTCTGGCAACGTGAATTACGTGGGGACGGGCGCACCAGACCGAGCAAAGTCACACAAACCAATCCGAGGGATGAGGAACAGGAGGGGGAAGGGGAGGAGAAGGGGTAGGAGGAAGAAGAGGAGAAAAACAATGAAGAACACCGCCAGAGACTGGGAACTGAGCGGTGTACAAAAATCCTAGCCTCAACCCGAGCCAGGGCCGTGAATGACCAGGCCACCCCTGCGTCGCGCGTGAGGCGAGACGAGCGCCCATGGAAACCCACCGACACACACACACACACACACACACACACTTCTGTGAGAGTGCGATGGGCATGCAGGGGGAGGGAGGAGGAGGATGAGGAGGAGGAGGAGGAGGAGGAGGAGGAGGAGGAGGAGGAGGAGGAGCACCGCCCGAACAAAGAAGTGCGGCCAGGAGCAGGAAACGAAACAAGACGAGAAGAGCCGCCCTCAGTCCTGCAGCGCGTGTGGCGCGCGCCCTGGGCGGTCCTGCACGCTCACCGTGGCCAACGCGGTGAACGGCAGCCGCCGCCGCAGGCGGCCCTCCGCTGCAGACGCGCTGCCCCCCTCCGGGGGCCGGAGGTGGCCGAAGGAGGCCCTCGTGCGCAACTCGCGGCGCTGCGCAGGCCTCCAGCGGCGGGCTCCCAAAGGGAGCGAAAAGCGCCGCCCCCCGGCTCAAAACGAAGAGGGAACAACACAAAGGGAACAGCTGCACGAAGCCTGCACGCCCACCACGTTGTTTGCTGCCGGGTGCGAGGTCTGGGGTGTTCCGTAAGCACCTCGTCTGCCGCTAGCGCCCGTTGCCGCCGACTCATGGGGCAGCCACCCAGGTGGAAGAGGGATGGAGGGGAGGCGCACGAACGAACGAGCCGCCGCTGCGGACAGGGCAAGCGTCGGGGCCTAGCTGAGATCAGGTGGGGGAGGCCGCGGCCTCTTGGAAGGTGCAAGCCTGCTGCTGGACTGGCAGAGGCACACGACAAGCGAATCCAGAGGGGGTGCAGGGGAGGCAGGAGAACGGTGACGGTGGCGGTGCCTGTGCCCGCAAGACTGTCCACGCGGTGGGGACTCGCCGGGGCGGGGCCGGAGCGCCCGCAACGGCGCTATACTAACTCGTGGTTCACAAACTGGGGCCGTCGCGGCTCGACCACCCGGCTCGGCCGCGCACCGTCGAGGGCGGGGCCCCTCGAGAGAACTCCGGCAGGCCTCCGCCGTGTCGTTTGTGCGCGGGCCGCGCGGTGCCGAGTTTTGTGCTCTGCGTTCTCCCGCGGCTACGAGTGGCGCTCTGGTCATCCTTCGCCGCCGTCGTGTACACACTGCCTTCCTCGGCACCTTCTTCACGCTTCTGGTGCCCTTCGTTGCCTTTGTGCCAATTTGGCCTCCTGAGGTCTTCCACGCACCTGGCGTTGCTCGTCGCTTCTTTTCCGCATCCGGTGGCATAGCCTGCCCCTGCTAACCCGGCGTTCGACCCGTTTCGCGCGCCCGCGTACCCAAAAAATGTTCCCGCGCGTCGAAGTTCGGGGGGGCCGCGTGCCCTTGGAGCTCGGTCGGGCGTGTCCTCCGGCACGGGGGTCTTGGACGGAACAGAGAAAATAGTCGAAACGTGCTCGAGCATTGACAGAGATAGTCGAAACACCGTCCCCACAGACCATGGTTTGACTACCCTTGAATCTCCCTCCTGCCTGACTTCAGCTCAGAGAGGGAGAGGCCGGGGGTGGAGAGGGCCCCCTCCTTCTCCTTCTCCTCGCGCGCGCGCGTCCGCGCGCGGCCAGCCCAGGCAGGGCACAGAGCCCTGCTCCAGGGCCCGCGGCTGCCGCCGCTGGGCCGCCGCCCCCCCGAGGCCACGCGGGGCCACGCCCACGGCACCCACGGGGCCCGCCTCTCTCCACGGGGGCCGCCGGGGGGGCCGCGCCGTCCAGCGAGAGCTCGAGGCCAGGGCCGGGATCCAGGCCTCGGGAGAGCTGTGCGAACGCTCACGCCACATTCGTCCGTCGATGCCCCCCCCCAATGCACTTCGACCGCAGCCTCCCCTGCGCGTGCCAACTTTTGAGTTATGGGGGGGCGGGGGAATGCCCACCAATGGTTTCCATCTGCCGTCAGACAGCGTCGGCGGCGCCCGCCGCGCCCGCCCCTTGTCGGGGCAGTGCCAGCGGCGCCTGCGACGCAAGCGTCCATGAGGGAGGAGATTCAGACCAGGAGCGGAACAAGAGAGCGGGGAGGACGCAAGACGGGCCAGCCTCGTGGCGGCTTGAGCCGTGGCGGCTTGAGCCAATGCCGTGTTTTGAGCTTCTGGACGCTCGGGGGGGTCAGAGGCGATGACGACGGCGGTCTCGACCCCTTCCCCAGGAGCAAGTCTTCGACGGAGTCGGCCGTTGACGGACTCGGGGGCTGGCAGGAAGCCCCAAAGAGAGCGAAAACTTGCCCAGTAGACTCCCCGTGGCGATTTGCAACCTGCCCCCTGGCACGAACTCACTCAAAATCCATCAAAATCCATTCCTAGCCTTCTCCTGGGGTCCTACAGGGGCAGTTTTTTTTATACATGTGATAAAAAACAAAAAAATGATTTCTAATACATGATCAATGTATGAATCAATTTGTGCATGAACTCATCGTTGTTTTTAGTACTAAATCCCTGTTATACATGATCCGCACGCGGAGCATGTATTAAAAACGGCACTGAAGGGTCTCCTCGCGAGGTCACCTGGCCTGGCGCCTCGCGCCCCTCGATGCGCGACGCGCGGTTCTCTTCGCGCCCTCGCGCCGCCGCCCTGGAGGAGGGCGGCTCTCCAACCCAGGCAGCAGCGCGCGCGAATCGCGAGATCACCTTCACGCCCCCTGGGTGAAGGGGCCCACAAACACACAAATAAATACATACGCCCAGATAACAGGAATCTCCATATGTTTCCATATGTTCTGGGTTTCTGTCTTCCCCCCCACTTCCCATATTCTCCCCTATTTTCTGGGGAGTCGACGATTGATTGTGTCCGTGTGTCTCTTTCCCTCCCGACCGGGGGCGGCCCGGCTCCTCGACCCGCTCCTCGAAGCGCACCCACCGCCGTGACGACCGCGGTGACGACCCTCCCCCGAGAGAAGCCCGCAGAGGACGGGCAGAGGCCGGGGATGCCCGCCGCCGCCTCGACCGGAGACGCGAGGGGGGCCCCGGGACGTCCCATCACGAGGCCGATGTTGCATCACAGCAGCAATCCTCCTCCTCCTCCTCCTCCTCCTCCCCCTCCTCCTCCCTCCTCCTCCTCCTCCTCCTCCTCCTCCTCCTCCTCCTCCTCCTCCTCCTCCCCTCCTCCTCCTCCTCCTCCTCCTCCTCCTCCTCCTCCCCCCCCTCCCAGTTCAGTGAAGTGATGAATTTCGGGGTCCTTACGTGAGAAAAGACATCAGTTCACTAAGCTGGGGCCCCTGGGGCCTGTGGGCCCTGGGGCCCAGAATTGGTGAAGTGATGGTTTTCGGGCCTCGGATCCCAGGGGGTGGGGCAGAGGAACAGACCACGGCACGGGCATAGGAACTCGGGGGGGGCGCGGATTCTCCGAATCGGCGCGGAGCGCGCAGGGGGCGGCGCCGGAGGCGCCGCCGGGGAGGGGGGCCCAGCGCCGATCCGAGAAGTCTGCACGGACGTGCGGGTGCTTACCCATCGGTCGGAAGAAGTAGGTAGAAGCATGAAATAGGAAGGCGTTGAAAGTAGATTGGGTGTCCGCCCGCCCCCTCAGGAGGACGGAGAGGGTGAAAGCCACTCGACCATTGAAGTAGGAAGGCGCTTAAAGCAGATTGGAATCTGGGTATCCGAAAATACCTACTTTCAACGACCGATGGGTATGCCTATGTCGTTATGTCTTGCCCCACGTGGGGGGCCGGCGGCGGCGAGGACGGAGGCAGGGCGCCCGCCTATGGTCGCGTTGTAGGTGATCACGTTGGGGAGCACACGCCCCTCGCGCATCTGGGCCAGCAGGCGCAGGGCATCCTCGGTGGGAGGGAAGTGCCTCCGCTTCTCTCGTGGGTGCGCAGGGCGAGGACGAGGAGGGAGGGGTGTTCTTTACCCTTGTCAAGATTCGTCAGCACTGGTTGTTATGTTTGTTCGCTCTCTCTCTCTGACTCTCCTGTACCCAGGACCAGCCAGGCGCACGCGGCAGAGACGATGCAGGCTCCTGGAATTGCGCCAGAGCTCATGCCCCCCTGCTTTCCAGTAGCCAGACCTCGAGCGGGGAGTTGCCGAAGTCCTTCTCCTCGAACACGGCCGTCCTCTGTCGCCAGACTGATGACTTGACTTTGGCATGCAACAGGCGCGCAGCGTCAACCACGAATGCAGTAAAACAGGTTTTTGTGTTCTCCAACCAGGCGTTACCACACGAAGCATCACAGCCAGCGTGAGCAGTAAGACTGCAGCCTGGGTTCGCGATCTCATCCTTAATGTGCAACGCACATGCGTATAGAACTGAATGCCCCTTTGCATTCCGCACGCGACACAGAATCGTCCAAAACAGCAACAAGCTCATTCGGATACCTGCAAGCTCCGGTACATCCTTCCACCGGACATCCCTGCGTTACATTCAACTTGCGATGTAGACACACATGTTTCTTGCCGTCGAAAGTATTTGACCCCAGGTGGAAAAGCTGGTAACCCTCGTTCCATAATTCCTGGCACACGAGCTCGCGGCCGAGTTCTTGGTTGTTCTTCCAACTCTCCACGGACCAGAGACAAGGCCGTCGTGCTGCATCTTTGATTAGCCGTCGGGCACCTGCAATGACGTTGGTCTCGGCTTCCTCTACATCGACCTTGGCAATTGCAAAGCTGCGGTCAAGCCAGGGTTCAGGCGCTACTCCAACTTCGTATAGAGCATCGTCAAGCGTTGTAACCTTGCTGCTGCTTCCACAATTGGCTATCTCCGATGTGCCACTGTTCAGATGCTTATTATCAATGTGCGAATTTCCATCTTTAGGTTCGAGACACACGTAGCCACCTGTTGTGGAGCCAACTGCTCTGAACACTAACGACATGTCGAGCTTCGGATCATGGTACATTGTTGAAGCAATGACCGCCACATTCACGTTGAAGGGATCAAATGCGAGCACCCTGTACCCCGAAGACGCCACATTCACAGAATGCCAACCGACGTTTGCACCTACATCTAAAAAATTTGGAGGGCCTGGAATACGGCCAGACTGCATAGAACGATTGATGGTCCAGAGAACAGTGTTGAACAACTCTACATGAAACTCTTCGTATACGTTTCCCTTTGAGTAGGAATCGATATGTGATTTTCGTACGTACGAACATGCTCGCTCTGCCAGCATGTGTTGTTACTAGTGGCGGCATTGTTTGGGGCACATTTTGCAATATCTCACGACTCACTCTTCCTTGTCTCACCACAGCCCAGAGTTGTCCTTCAAGTGTGGATTCATTAACTCTCTTTTCAACTTTGGATTTAAGAGCTCGAGATCTATTCTCTATCAAAAGGCCTGGGATCATCGATGAGCCCCCTCGAGCGTTCAATATTGTGGGCAGACAAATTACGATGGCAAATACAATGAGACCGAGGACGTAACTAACCCGTCGCATTAACTTGACCGCAATACCTCAAGCAAAATGAGTACCCGAACAACGTGACCTGAGTCAACACGTGCTGAACATGGTTCGCTTGGGCCAAAAGAGCTTGAGCCAAATGGCTACGGGCAATAAAACAGTTGTATTGGATTGCGGCTGTTCTGCATTGCAGCTTGATCGCAATGCAAGTGGACTGCTTCAGGATGCCGCTGCTTCGCTGCCAGGGACTAAGCTTATACTTACAGTTCCAAGTGCGAGCCGAATGCGGTTTGAAGATCAGGGAGGTACCAAGCGAACAGCGCCAACCACGACGACGACGACGACAGAACAACTGTCGCTGCATTTGTTTAAACTGCAATTATTTCATTTTCGCAGCGCGCATTGTCTTGCAGCGCAATATCAGTCTGCTTCGGAGGGCTGCTGTTTCGCTGCTCGAGCGCGAACTACTGCTCATGGCTCTGCGTGCGAGCCGAGTGCGGTTGGAGGAGGCCCAAGGATGTGCGAAGCGAGCAACACCAACCACTGCTGCGACAACAAGACGGTTGTGAGTTTGCATTGCCGTGTTTGCGTGCATTGCTGACTTGTCTGCGGTGCAATTGGTGTCTGCTTCGGGGAGCCGCTGTTTCGCTCCTAGACTGTGGGCTGTTGATCAGGCTTCCAAGTGCAGCCGGATGCCGGTTTGAGGAGGTCCACGGAGGTGCTAAGCGAGAAGCGCCAACCGCTACGACTACAACAATTCAGTGTTTTTGCATTCCAGTCACGTTTACATTGCAGTTGGTTTGCTATGCAGTGTTGATCTGGTTGGCGAATATCTTCTGAGTCGCCTGAACTTGGCTGGTCTGGATGGTCTACTTTGACTTGCTGGTCATGCTGGCCTGCTTTGTTCCAGCTTGTTGCATCGCAAATATTTGCCATCGCAATGTTATTTTCATGTCAGATTTGGTGTTCTTGATCTTGCTGATCTGCGTAATTTGGTCTTCACTTGGAACATCCGGATGGCTGTCTGATCTGGTTGGTTGTGGCTGGTCTACTTCGTTTTTGGTCTGGCTGGTCTGTTTGACAGGCTTGGTTTTCCGCGTCGAATTTGTTCTGCGATGCAATTCAAAGTTGTGTGATGAGGGTTGTCTGGTTGATGCTTAGTCTCATATGGGCTTGGCAAGCCTCGATGGCTGGCTCGTTTGTCTGGCTGGTCTATTTGGTCTGGTTGGACACTACCGCGCAGCGCAGCACACAGCGAACAGCGCGGAGTTGTTGCGAATTGCACTGCATTGCACCATCTCTTGTTTGTCCCTCAATCCTTTCCAGCCCCATTCTCCCCCGCTTGTTTTCTGTATCGTTGCGCTGGCTTTGTTGGCTGGTTGGTCGAATTCATCTGGCTGGTCTTGATCGGTCTGGTCTGGTGTGATCTGGCTGGTCGTGTAATTCACCTGGTCTGTTCTGCTATACATATATATATATGAGAGAGAGAGAGAGAGAGAGAGAGAGAGAGAGAGAGAGCGTGATCCACCGCCGCTTTACTGTGGAAAATTGCCAACCTTTTCCTCCGGAACCCGGGGGTCGCCCCCCCCCCCCTCCGAAAATCCCCCCCCCCCTGCTGGAACCCCTCTCCCCCCCCCCCCCCACCCCCCTCCCCCACCGGAAAACCGGGGGGGGTCACTACCGGTTCGAACCCCCCCCCCCCCTCGAAAACCGGAGGGGGATCACTACCGGTTCGAACCCCTCCCCACCCCCCCACTCACCGCCAGCAAACGACTCCCGGTCCCTACCACCGTCCGCATCACATCCTCCACTGTTGTTCCCAGCACCACTGTCCTCACCACCACTGTCCCCACTGTGTCCCCACCAGTGCCCCCACCACTGTCGCACTGTCCCCACTGTCCCCACCACTGTTCCCACCACGGTTCCACTCTCCCCACTGTCTCCACGGCCCCAACCACTGCCCGACTATCCCCACTGTCCCCACTGTCCCACTGACTCCGCCGCTGTCCCACTGAGCTGTCCCACTGTTCCCACCACTGTCCCCACTGTCCCCACCACTGTCCCCACTGTACCTCTGTCCCATTGTCCCACCGCCGTCCTCGCCACCGCCTTCACCACTGTCCCCACCACCATTGTACCCTCCACTGTCCCACTGTTTCCACCTCATTCCCACTGTGCCCACACCACTGTCCCCACCACCACCGTCCCCACCACTGTCCACTGTCCCCCCTGTTCCCACCATTGTCCCCACCACTGTCCCCACCACTACCGGCCCTCTACTGTCCCACTGTCCCACTGTCCCCACCACTGTCCCGCTGTCCCCTCACCACTGTCCCACCAACACCGTCCCCACCTCTGTCCGCACCCCCACTCGGTTTTCGAGGGAGGGGGGGGGGGGGTTCGAACCGGTAGTGACCCCCCCCCCTTTTCATGATGAGCTGGGGGGGGGGGGGGAGGGGTTCGAACCGGTAGTGACCCCCCCGGTTTTCCGGAGGGGGGGGGGGGGGGAGGGGTTCGAACCGGTAGTGACCCCCCCGGTTTTCCGCCAGCAGCGGTAGAACACGCTCTTTCTAATCTGAAGGTCATGCGCGTCTCAGGCCTCTGGCGGCCGTGCTATAGAGGATCCTGCCACGCCAGGAGCGCTCCCGCCGAGGCGCCGAGACTCACGAGAAGGGGCGGCCCGAGAATGGCGGCCCCCGCTCGGGCCGGGCGACAGGGGGGCATAGCAAAGGGGGGGGTTGAGAAGCAGCTCACGTAGCTGATCTTCCCGGCGCCTCCCGGCGCCGGAGGCGGCCATGTCTCGAGGAATGGGCCCGACGGCGGGGCCGAAACCCAGCTGCAGGCAGCAGCTCTCGTACCCCCCCCTTTCCCAATCCCCCCCTTTCCTCCGGCCCGAGAAACTGCGGGTGCGGACCATTTTTCAAGATGGAGCGGGCTCTCTCGGGACCCTGCGCTCCACTTTAGGATCCAGCAGGTCCGAGATTCATTTCTCATCCCATAGGAGCACGAAAGACCATCCCTTCCAAAACGGGGCTCTCGCGCGAATGGCAGGCCCATGCGGTCCCTATCCCCCCCTTTCGTCCGGCCCGGCCCGCGGGCGCAGCGCGTCGCAGATCGGAGCGCAGGTCGCGGGCACGGCCTCGCCCGGCCGCCACCCTCGGCGCGGCGCGCCCTGCCACAGAGCGCGCCCCTCCTCTCTGCACTCGAGCAGGGGATCGACTGCGGAGCTGGTATTGTCTACACCCCAGAATTGGTTGGCCTCGTCGGGTCTACGAAAAACGCGTAGAAAGTTTCGCAGGCCCACGACCTGGTCTCTGCCCCCACGAGGACACGCGAGAGGGCACGGGACCCTTCCGAGGGCCACGCTGCCGCAGAGATGCAGGAGGCATGGGTCGCAAGACACCGGACACGAGGGTACCCTTGATCTGGCGGGGTCGACCTA